ACAATACATAGCTGTGTCTATATACATTGTGCCACTTGGTTAATATGCATAGTACACAATACATAGCTGTGTCTATATACATTGTGTAACTTGGTCAATATACATAGTATACAATACATAGCTGTGTCTATATAGATTGTGTAACTTAGTCAATATACATAGTATACAATACATAGCTGTGTCTATATACATTGTGTAACTTCGTCAATATACATAGTATACAATACATAGCTGTGACTATATACATTGCGCCACTTGGTCAATATACATAGTATACAATACATAGCAGTTTGTGTAGACATAGCTGTGTCTATATACATTGTGCCACTTGGTCAATATGCATAGTACACAATACATAGCTGTGTCTATATACATTGTGTAACTTGGTCAATATACATAGTATACAATACATAGCTGTGTCTGTATAGATTGTGTAACTTAGTCAATATACATAGTATACAATACATAGCTGTGTCTATATACATTGTGTAACTTCGTCAATATACATAGTATACAATACACAGCTGTGACTATATACATTGCGCCACTTGGTCAATATACATAGTATACAATACATAGCAGTTTGTGTATACATTGTGTGACTTGGTCAATATACATAGTACACAATATATAGCAGTGTGTGTATACATTGTGCCACTTGGTCAATATACATAGTACACAATACATAGCTGTGTCTATATACATTGTGTAACTTAGTCAATATACATAGTGCACAATACATATCTGTGTCTATATACATTGTGCCACTTGGTCATGGCAATATACATAGTACACAATACATCGCTGTGTCTATATACATTGTGTAACTTGGTCAATATACATAGTATACAATACATAGCTGTGTCTATATACGTTGTGTAACTTAGTCAGTGTACCGTTTACAGGAACAGATAACAGCATCTGTCTCATTTTCATATGTTCAATTGGGCTGTCTATGTTAGAGCGTAACTGGCTTTAGTTTACTGTACTAATATAAAATATTCATAGTTGAAGTGACCTTTAAGGCTTACAAAGATTTTGCAGTGGATATGGCACTATGTAATATAGTATACACATATTCACATACATGAGAAAGATATTGATCATTTCGCCACAGTATGTCCTTTGGCTGCAGCGTGCTATCTGGATTATGGTTGTAACGTGTATTCAATGCGACGTATGAAACATCTGGGTTAATGAAGCAGTGCTTCTCAGTGGACAATAGCTATTGTACTTTATACTGTAGTTGACTACTTTTGTTTGACGCTGCATTCAATGTGCCAGCTGTATGTCGACAGTCCGTAAAAAACCGTATCTAGTTGGAACAAACCAGTGATTGGCACCATGACCATTCTGACCTTGACCTTGACCTGACCGCCCTATCCCGTTAGTTGCCCTTTACTACTGGCAATGGCTGAAAGTTAATTCTGACGGAGTGAGAACTTAATATGTTTGGACAATATGAGTTGTCTCCCCTTGCGCACACGCACGTGTACATGCAAACACACACACACACACACACACACACACCTCCACTCACAACCCCATTGCACCTCATATGTGCTATGGGCGCTGGTTGTATTGGAATTAAGATATTAGGATCAAGCGTTGTGTTGGCATGTTTACGAGTGCGACTTGAAACAACAGCAAACACGTCTAGACTGTTTATGTGCGGCATCTACGTGACATGAAAATATTGCTTCATCTATGACATAACATGCTTCCACGCCTGGGCTATGGACGGCAAGGCGTACTTTTCATAGATTCATTCTTTCGTCATTCTTGCCTGAATTTCATTAACGGGGGAACGCGTATTTTAAACTGGGAGGTGGAAAATTACTGTCACTTTTTTTTTGTAACCAACATTAACATTGTAAATAGTTCTTTAAATAAAAAGCCATATGTTACTTATATTGAAAATAGCACCAATCATTTGTATAAAATCATCTCTTGGCCCCTTCTTAAAGTACTACACAGTTCCTAACGGGTGTATTCATACATATCCGAGACCATATTCGAACCAACTGCCTTGGTGTTACATCTTCCTAATAGCTTTCAGGAGCATTTTAAACATTATCTTGAGTAAGGTTATTTATTCTGAAAATGTACCAGTTTGGACCAACATCACACCACAAATACACCCATGAGAACCATTCAACATATTTGATCTATATGACGTGTCCGACAGCAAAATAATGTCCCTGGAAACTAAAGTACATTTGATAAAATCGGCTATAAGACAGCCATAAGCTTAAGTTGTAAATATTTGAAATTATTAAAACAAACTAGGAGAAAGGGAGTCTCCTTGTGTGCTACACTTACCAACATCAAATCATCAACAAGTTAACACTATATTTGAGATTTCATTCATGTGTTTTACAACGATATATGTGTCGCTGTGTGTTCATCTACCTTGTACAAAGTGTGAAATGCCATGATCAGAGTGTCACAGACAGAAAATGATAAATATATTGTTTTATCAAACTTATCAACAATCTCGTTTCTCTAGCCAGAGGGAATAAGGTAATGTCGAATGGTTGCGAGATGTGAATGAAGATAAGATAAGATAAGATAAGATAAGATAAGGGATAAGATAAGATAAGATAAGATAAGATAAGATAAACTTTATTGTCCCGCAAGGGAAATTTGTTTTGCATTCAAAGAGCCAATACAGGCATATAACAACAAATAATTTAAAGTATATATACACAATGCCAAGCTAATCAGAATATAATGTTGAATTATAACATAATCAAAGTTTATGATATAATAATCACTCGTGCCTCATCATAGATTTCACTATTACAATTTTGGAGGAAGATTTAGACGTTTTATGCTGTATGGGACAAATGATTTTGAAGTTCTATTAGTTTTGTAATACATGATTTTGAAACGGCGGCCAGAAGGCAGAATTTCATAACATTCATTTAAAAAGTGTGATGGATCCAATTGAATCGCCAGATCTTTCTTCTTAACTTTTGACTCATATTGAAAAGGTAGAGGTTCGAAATTGAAGCCGCAAATTTTGCTTGATATGTTTACAATTTTGTCAAGTTTGTTTTACTTGGAAGGAAGCTCATAATGATCTCAGGACACGTATATACCTGAGAGAACATTGACGTCTCTAATTAGAAGAAGGCCATTCGGCTCACGGTGCCTCCGGACGAGGTCGTAAATAACTGTTCATAACCAATGGGCGTTCACGTAGGATTGCTTTACTTGAGGACACCACAAATCACGTATCAAACAAGACTTGCATCAGTAAATAGAAATTACTATATCATCAAACATCAAATCGTGTTTTCACATATGAGACCTATCTAAGGTCGCGTCAGCTAAACTTCGTATCATCCAGTCAGACTCGAGGCTTCTAAATTCTCGGTACAAGAGAGTTAGCCGACAGACAAGCTGATTTATGTATCTTCATAAACAAACTAGATAAACGGGCAGTTCCCAACTGAAATGATGAAGGCCGTTTATTGCAGACAGTTATTGTATCTGATTTCTTGGAGATTGATTCCTTATATTTTTACATTAATCTTTTACATGGATTAACGTATATATACTCTTCAAAAAAAGGAAACTTGACATGGTGTTGTGGAGTTTACTTACCGAGTGCATATAATTGATTCAAACATGACATCATTGCTCAGTTACAGTAAAATCATTACTTTACAAATATTCAAAACATGATTATCCAGAAATGGTTTGGTAAAACTATTATCAAGGGCTATTAAAGCCACTTGGTCAGAGTAAAATGTCAGTATCTACCATGAGCATCTATAACAGCTTGGCAGCGGTGACCCATAGAAGAAAGAAGATGCCGAATGCTGTGTGCAGTGTCTTGATACTCTTGCTGTAGTGCTGTGTGCAGTTCTTGTAGTGTCTGAGGTGGCGGATTACGCTGGCGCAAGCGTCGATCAAGAGTATCCCATAGATGTTCAATGGGGGACAAATCCGGCGATCGAGAAGGCCAATGTAACAACTGAACATTGATGGAGGAAGACTTGTCAAACACGTGCAACGTGAGGTCGAGCATTGTCATGCTCCAAAGATCAGCCTTTGATGTTGATGTAGGGAACGACGTGACGTTGAACTGGTTTTCTGTCAAAAGTCGGTTTTTCCATAGCCAATTGCGCACTGTCTGGTCGGAAATTCGGCGCAGTCAAGGATTTGGATTGTTGTGAATGATGCGGCCGTGGTGTTTGAACGAAACTGTCACAACCGGATGTGGAGATCCTGGGCGGCGGTGGTAACTCTAGTCGACCTGACCATGGGTCTGTCATTAAAACCCCCAGTTTTTTTGTATCGGGTCCATAGGTTTGAGATGGTCTGTCTGGACACGCTGAAGTGCCTTGCCACATCACGATGTCCGTCCTTGTAAACGGCCGATGGCGTTGTGTCGTTGAGCTTTTGTCAGTTTTTTCATTCTCTTGTCGTCTATAGTGGCTTAAAGCAATGCGTGTGGGGTATCAGCTCAGGGTGATACACAATTTCATGATGCTCGTGCATTTCATGTAGGGTGCGTTTTAGCGATTCACTACAGACGTGGGTCTAACGTTACGTTTTTGTTAAACGTTTTTCTTTTTTTCAAACGTTTTGTCGTCGGCAACCATTCCCCAACATGCTGGGATTGAGCATGGGTTGGTTTGTGTCAAATATTTCCTAAAATTCAAATTTGTCCTATGTTTCTTTTTTTAAGAGTATATTATGGATGCCAAATTTATAAATAAATAAAAGATAGATATGAAATATATGAATAAATAAATATTGAATTATAATAAATAAATACATATATATATATATATATATATATATATATATATAATAAATAAATAAATAGTAATAAATGAATGAATGAATGAATAGATTATAAAATATATATATAACGAATAATGAATGAATGAATGAATGAATGAATGAATGAATGAATGAATGAACAAGATTATAATATTAATTGTAATAACAAAAATTATGAGTGGACCGTTTTATTACGACAGAATGTGCTGTAATAGTGCCATGGTGGAGACGTCGCCGTTACTGGCTGTCAGCGTTGCTGTTCCTGGGATTCGCTTTCTTTACAACCATGCGAGCCAATCTAAGCATTGTGATTGTGTGCATGGTGAAACATGGCAGTCCACACAACGCGACTAACCTGGCTTACAATGGTTCTGATTGGTCCAACACGACATATAGCGTCAGAGGAACAGAGACGGACAGTGGCAAGTGTCCCAGCAGAACCGTACCTGGATCATCAAATGAACAGGTGAGTGTTTCACCGATCTTTACTTTCCATATGAAAGCTTCACCAATCAAACACATCATTACTTTCACTATGAAAGTCTCACAAATAAAAAACATCGTCACCTTCTCTCTGGGACTTTCACCAATCAAACACAACGGTACTTCTCTATGAGTGTTTCGCCAATCAAACATCGTTACTTACCCTATGGGCGTTACATCTATGAAACACATCTTTACTTTCCTTGTGAAAGCTTCACCATCAAACATATCATTACCTTGTCTATGAGTGTTTCACCAATCAAACACATCGTTACTTCACTATGAGCGTTTTACCAATCAAACACATCGTTACTTCTCTATGAGCGTTTCACCAATCAAACACATCGTTACTTCTCTATGGGTGTTTCACCAATCAAACACATCGTTACTTCTCTATGGGTGTTTCACCAATCAAACATATCGTTACCTCTCTATGGGTGTTTCACCAATCAAACACATCGTTACTTCTCTATGAGCGTTTCACCAATCAAACACATCGTTACTTCTCTGTGGGTGTTTCACCAATCAAACATATCGTTACCTCTCTATGGGTGTTTCACCAATCAAACACATCGTTACTTCTCTATGAGCGTTTCACTAATCAAACATATAGCTACTTCTCTATGGGTGTTTCACCAATCAAACACATTGTTACTTCTCTATGAGCGTTTCACTAATCAAACATATCGTTACTTCTCTATGAGCTTTTCACCAATCAAACACATCGTTACTTCTCTATGAGCGTTTCACCAATCAAACATATCGTTACTTCTCTGTGGGTGTTTCACCAATCAAATACATCGTTACTTCTCTATGGGTGTTTCACCAATCAAACATATCGTTACTTCTCTATGGGTGTTTCACCAATCAAACACATCGTTACTTCTCTATGAGCGTTTCACCAATCAAACATATCGTTACTTCTCTATGGGTGTTTCACCAATCAAACATATCGTTACTTCTCTATGGGTGTTTCACCAATCAAACATATCGTTACTTCTCTATGAGCGTTTCACCAATCAAACATATCGTTACTTCTCTATGGGCGTTTCACCAATCAAATACATCGTTACTTCTCTATTGGTGTTTCACTAATCAAACATATAGTTACTTCTCTATGGGTGTTTCACCAATCAAACACATTGTTACTACTCTATGAGCGTTTCACCAATCAAACACATCGTTACTTCTCTATGAGCGTTTCACTAATCAAACATATCGTTACTTCTCTATGGGTGTTTCACCAATCAAACACATCGTTACTTCTCTATGAGCGTTTCACCAATCAAACACATCGTTACTTCTCTGTGGGTGTTTCACCAATCAAACATATCGTTACTTCTCTATGAGCGTTTCACCAATCAAACACATTGTTACTTCTCTATGAGCGTTTCACCAATCAAACATATCGTTACTTCTCTGTGGGTGTTTCACCAATCAAACACATCGTTACTTCTCTATGGGTGTTTCACCAATCAAACGCATCGTTACTTCTCTATGTGTGTTTCACCAAAGTAAGATAGGTCATAAAAAATGTGCAATTTTGGCAACTTCATGGCACATGTATAGTGCTGACAATTGTTAAAGCTTACAATAAATTTGAACCTTATCAACAAATCATGGCCAAAAAGTAAACGCAACTTTTCATAGCTACTTGAGACACTTTTAAGAAGATGGTCCATTTGAGCTTTTTTGCGGGCTGGATGAGAAGAATCAGTAATACATTTGAAGAAATTGAATGTAACCTTCACTTTATTTGTAGACCTCGGTATTCTTCAGGAACCAGTGTGCTACTTTGTGTTGCAGGATGGCGAGTTTGAGTGGAGCAAGGAGCTGCAGGGGGTCCTCCTGGGAGGGTATTTTTGGGGTTACTCCGTGGGCTTCCAGATTCTGGGAGGATGGTTGTCTCAGAGATACGGACCCAGGAAGATGCTAGCTGTCGGGATGCTTCCAGCTGCAGTGGGGTGTATCTTGAGTCCATTGGCCGTGAGAATCAGCCCCTTCCTGTTCCTGGCGGTGAGGATTGTCACAGGCATTACCACAGTAAGTAGCCGAGTCTGGAGCGGATCTGTGCCAGGATCTTGGTCACCACATTGTCGTCTTTTGCTATGAAGTTGGGATTTTACTGGCTTCATTATTTCCTATTATTCTGATTCGTATTTTCATTTCTTAAAACTCTGACGCAAGCAAAATCAGCATAATTAACCTATCGTTGAGAAATTGGCAACGAGTGTTTAAAGAAGATGTGGTTTGGTAGTTGTAATCTGAAATTACAGATGTACCCTTTCCCATACCCTTTCAAGCATTCTCATGTACAACATTAAGTACCAACCCCCCCCAACCCGAACCTCCACCCAAACAAAATAATCTTAACAGTAACAAAATCAATAGTACACACTGTCAATCAGTTCACACTATATGACATCATTATTCCTTTCTCGCTGTAATCTATCCACCCTCTTCACCGTTTTTCATTGTGAACTATCCAACTTCTCCATTCTTTCTCGCTGTAAACTGCCCACCCAATCCATCCAGTCTCACTGTAAACCGCCCACCCAATCCACCCTGTCTCACTGTAAACTACTCACCCAATCCACCCTGTCTCACTGTAAACATCCCACCCTGTCCATCCTGTCTCACTGTAAACCGCCCACCCTGTTTCACTGTAAACAGCCCACCCTGTCCACCCTGTCTCACTGTAAACAGCCCACCTTGTCCACCCTGTCTCACTGTAAACAGCCCACCCTGTCCACTCTGTTTCACTGTAAACTGCCCACCCAATCCACCCTGTCTCACTGTAATCTGTCCACCCTATCCACCCTTTAACACTATAAAAGTTCCAGTCTGTCTTCTCCCCAGAGTGTGATGTTTCCGTCAGGACCTGTATTCTGGTCTCGATGGGCTCCACCAGAAGAATGGAGCCGCCTTCTCACTACTACAAACGCGGGTAAGACGATACAGTCCCCGGACGATACAGTCCCCGTGTTGGAAAAAGCACATCAAACGGGCTAACCGAGATAACCTTGAACAGAGGTCCCCAAATTCTCCACCCTGAATACTCATTTACCATACGTGTGTCATCCTCCTCGGTACAAATGTTATGCACACATATGTAATCTCTTGGAATTTGGGGTGTTTTTTTAACGTATCATTCGATGACCTGGACGCCAAATTTGAGTTCATAGGTTTGCTGGTGAAACGGATCTTTCCACCAAAATACATGCAGTTTGAACTAGAAGTTTACGTAACTGCTTCCATCGCCCTTATTCAGCATGAAATAATACAGGCCTTTGGACGGAGATGTCTACAGTGCTCGGTAACGTATTGTAACCCGTGGACTCGACTTCTGCTGGAGTCCTTGACAAACTAGTACACTCTGGGGCATGACTCACTACAATAGTCATGTCACGTTTACACTTTCGCCTTACAACATTTTTAACAGCTAGGTACATCAGAAATAGAACTAGGTTTGTCTGCCCGAATAACATAAAAACTCGCTAGACTTGCTTGATTCCTTTGTCTTCGGGCACATCACTGAAAGAAGAATCAGACTTGCCTGAAGGCACGGCAGAAAGAAAGAGCCAGACTTTCTTGTCTGAAGGCACACCAGAAAGCTAAATATTTTTGTCTTTATGCACATACGAAAATCTAGATTTCTTTTGTCTGGAGGCACATAACTGAAAGAAGAACTAGCCCCTTGTCTTAAGGCACCCAGAAAACAAGTTTCCTTACTCTATACACACAAGAACATCTAGATCTTCGGGAAAAGAAGGACTAAATTTGTTTGCAATGAGGCACTTCGAGATAAGAACTAGATTTGCTTGTCCGAGGGCACAGTGGAAAAGAATCAGATTTGTTTGGCTTTCAGGCTCTCCAAAAACAAACAAGCTTGTCTCTATGCACACACAAGATGTGTTTGTCGATATGCACACCAGATGATCTAGATTTGTTTCGTAATTCCAACAGAGGAAAACCTATTTATAGTATCTTTATGCACATCGGAAGATCTTGATTCGCTCGTCTTTATTCAGAAAGACGGTCTATATGTGCGCGTAACATGGAGACACTATCTATTTCTGTAGTTGGCCCAAAGTACCTATCTGGATGGTTTTAATACCACGTTTTACATTTATCACAAGAATTCGACGCTTAGTTGCAGAATAGGGGTGTATGTTTATGACGTCATAAATGTGACCACATGTATTGGTTAGATGGTTTTCGGACTTGAATATACAGTCGAACATCGTTGTGTCGAACGTTTATGTGTCGAAGTTACGGTGGTCTCCAAGTAAAAATGGGTAACTGCGTATTCCTTTTTAGTAATTATTTTGCAATTGTTTCGAACCTCGGATCTCTCGAAGTACTTGCAAAGGTCCCTTCGACACGACGGTATGTGTATCAGTATAACAACACTGTAACAATTCTTTTCACGCAGGTGGCGAGTTCGGACATGCTATTGCATTCCCGATTAACGGACTGTTGTGCAAGTACGGTGGCTGGGAGATGCCATTTTACGTAGTGGGTGAGTCCCTTTAAGTATGTGAGTGTGTTTAGTTTTACGACGCTTTTAGCAATATTACAGCAATATCACGGTGGGGGACACCAGAAATGGGCTTCGCTCCGAGTCCCTTTAAGACACGTATATACTGACGGTGTTCAAGGAGATTCTATGAATAATAGTAAGAAGGAAGAAGCCTATGTCAACAGCGATGTCAAATCCCTCGACAACACTTATAGGGTATCTGTGTCAGTATGAAAAACAATTTTGGGTTAAGTATGTGTTACGTGATCTCAGGTTTCAGCGTGTTCAGTTTCTATTTGATGTCAGTCGAAAACTCTCCTTCTCAGCAAATATTATGTTTAAACTTGCAAGATATAGGTTGAACCGCTGTACCATTATACAATGTCAGGAGCCAGAACTAGGCGTCGCTGCCCCCATTCAAATGGTCACGATATGGCGTTGATTTGTCCTGTGCAAATGTTGTATTCTTTACTGGAGAATATCGGTTATTGTGTTGCAGAGTAGGTGGCTGAACAGAATCTGAGTGGATCACCTAAAACTCAGGTGACAGCTACAGGGTTAGGTCAAGGAAACATCTTTCGTCCCTAGCTCTTCGACCAGCTTAAGTCAATGTTAGGGCGCTCAACAAAATAATATCATGTTCGTGTTTTAACTTCTGTCGAAGGGGAATGTGTGTGTGCGTGGGTGTTTATGTGTGTGCGTGGGTGTTTATATGTGTGCATGTTTATGTGTGTGCGTGATTTCTTTTTTTGTGTGTGTGTGTGTTTGTGTTAAAAATGTATTCAGTGTGAGAAAATCCTTTTTTCAAATTCACTGCAGACTAAGCAATATATATTATCTTGATTTCAACTTTGTAGCAAAAGTTGCCATGTTCCCGATATGCTGAGGTGATAAAGAGATTCCGTATATACTAGGTGCATTAAGAAATCTGAGTTGTGGTTCGGTCCAAAACTGGCTTTGAGAAAGAACATTGTTTTGAATCATCGGAACTAAAACTCCGATAACCATAGAAATGCTTTATAATTAATTTAAAAGAACCTTTACATTTTATTATTTAAAAGAACATTTAAGATAATGTTTATTTCCATATTCATATTTATGAGACGATTTTATATAAATGTTTATCTAAAAATTTGAGTTAACTAAAGGTTTACCTAGGATGGCACCAATAGTAACTAAACGTAAACCCCGTTATTCCGGACGATGCCGTTCAAAGAGAAATGTTCTTTCATAACAAAAAGTGGATGCATATGCAGTATCTATTGTCGATATAGTGCTTCATAACAGTGAGTGACCAGTAAGAGGGTTTTACGTATTAACGAGGTTCATCAGACGAGAGGTTCAGGATTATTGCGATGTATCCAACTTCGAACTTACTCATGTCGGCTCTTCAGAGCTCTGTTTTTGTTTAAAGTTATTGTTTTGTTTACACAATAAAATGTGCTATGTCAATTTTCTACACCAATGGCTCAGGTCGTCACTTTCTTATGAAATGTAGAGCCAGATCACGTGAGATATATATGGCCAAGTGAGGGAGGAATCTAGGAAGCGTTCCTACAATCACCCACTGTCATCTGTGCAGGAAACGTTCACTTGTGTAAACCTGTGATCGAAACAAAAATGGATCTCTCATATCGTACCCTTTCTAAAATTCTAACCCAGGTCCTAGGTGTGAAGAACAATCGCAGTACCCAGGTTGATACCCTGTTGCCCTGTATGTAGGTTGGTTGGTTCCAGCTATATGGCGGCGATCTGTAAATAATCAAATCTGGTCCAGACAATCAAGTAATCAACAGCGTGAGCATCAATCTCAGTGTGTGTGTGTGTGTGTGTGTGTGTGTGTGTGTGTGTGAGAAAGAGAGAGAGAGACAAGTCAAAACATTGATCACCCAACAGTCTCGTTTCCTGTTGACTGGGTTCCGTCCTATTGCGCAACAATAACCAGTCCAGAATTTTGAGACAAATTCATTTATCTGGATACATAAATATTAATCAGTATTATTTGATACATCTAAGCACTTGTATATTGCGACACTACGCTCCTTCTTATCCTTGCAAACACGTCGTGCAGCGTGCTCTGTCGTACAGCTAGCTCTGACAAACGGAAACCTGGAAATCGTGGAAATCTCAAAACGAGGCTCTGCCGCAAGAAATGTTTGACGGTCTGGTACGGATTTGATATTATACCAATTACATTGTGCGTTACAGAACTACATTGAATAAGCGCAAAAAATAACAGGCGAGTCCAATGAGCCAGATGCATTGGGAATCATTTTACGACCTCATCAAACAGAGGCAGTCTGTGACGTCTTAGTTAAGCTCAGGCTGCCCACACATCGCCATAAAATATAGTAATACGATGTTATTAAAGTTTAACATTAAAATACATTGGTAAATACCATTTTCTTATGAAACAGGGAATTAGAATTCAGTGTAACCATAGTTGTTTGTGATGTCTATTTTCACTTTCACACGAGGAAATTCGGATCGGCTGAAAAGTAGGTCATTGTCTGAATAGGTTAATGAGACTCATGTTTCGGTTTGTGTGTGTGTGTGTTAGAGAGAGAGAGAGAGAGAGAGAGAGAGAGAGAGAGAGAGAGAGAGAGAGAGAGAGAGAGAGAGAGAGAGAGAGAGAGAGAGAGAGAGAGAGAGAGAGAGAGAGAGAGAGAGAGAGAGAGAGAGAGAGAGAGAGCTAGCCTTATTGTTAAGGTATTCGCTGGTGGTCACACCGACGACTCGTGTTCGATACCGGGTATCCCCGCCCATACATTGCAACGTCATGACTCTATACACCATCTCTCACTTCATGTGGTGTGCCACTGTTTTGTGCTCTCATAGCTTGGACATCTTATGCTCACTTTGACAGGTAGCCTGTCTGTCATCTGGTGCATCGTCTGGCTACTCGTATCTAGGGATTCTCCGTCAGAGATGCCGGGAATTACCGAGGCCGAAAAGAATTACATTGAGACATCTATCGGTGATCGTGTGACATCCAAACGCGTAAGTAAAAATCTCTCGCCAGAAAAGTAACAGGAAATACTCCCCAGGGCACTAATCTGAATATATTAAATGCCACATTAGCATTGGTACTCACTCCATCGACCATCGGTCGTGCTGGTTCAGGCTAAGTAATTTTCTTCAAGTTGACGTGTTACGTTCAATGTTACTAACGAATGCTGTACAATGCCACGCATCAGTCAACCCATGTTTAAGCTGATGCCGTGTTGTACATTATTACACTTTAAGTCAATCCACGTTGTATATTGTCATTCACCAACTCAGTCCATATGAACCCGTGAAGGTCCGGGTTAGAATTGGTCTTTAGCAACCCATGTTTGCCCTCAGAGCCGACTAATGGAATCGGGTCCGGCTCGCTGACTTGGTTGACACATGTCATCGTATCCCAACTGCGTAGATCGATGCCCATGCTGTTGATCACTGGATTAGCTTATCCAGACATGATTATTTTACAGACCGCCTCCATATAGCTGAAATATTGCTGGGTACGGCGTTAAACAACAAACTACCTATCCAATCCATATAAGGGGTGGTGGGGTAGCCTTGTGGTTAAAGCGTTGGCTCGTCATGCCGAAGATCCCGGTTCGAATCCCCACATGGGTACAATGTGTGAAGCCCATTTCTGGTGTTCCCCGCCGTGATGTTGCTGGAATATTGCTAAAAGCGGCGTAAAACCAAACTCCTTCAGTCAGTCCATATAAACTGACACGATGTTTTACATTGCCACGTTTTAAGCCAATCCACATAAACTGACGCCGAGATATGCATTGTCACATGTCACTCGGTCGACTTAGTTTGAATTTGCTTTTGGAAGCCATACTATGTCATACTAATGTGCTGCTGTAACTGTTCCGTTGTCGTTGTAGACGTACAAGACGCCTTGGTGCCAGATGCTGTCCTCCCGGCCGGTGTGGGCATGCGTGATTAGTCACATGACCGCTAACTTCTTTTTCTACATGATACTAACACAGGCACCCACCTTCCTCAACGAGATACTCAAGTTTGACATAACATCGGTATTGTGTTTCCGAGTTAATATTCTACACATTTACTTCAAATTCATTGACGGGATGTAGGGTAGCACAGTGGTTAAAGCGTTCACTCGTCGCGACGAAGACCCATGTTGGGTTCCCCACATGGATACAATGTGTGAAGCCAATTTCTGGTGTCTCCGCCGCGATTTTGCAGGAATATTCAATTTACTAAAAGCGGCGTAAAAACCAAACTCACTCTGTAAATCAGTTAACAGATTAACAGAGGCACCAAACCCGAGGTACCGAGAAGAATGGGAAGTCAGACAACTTGGTGCTTACTCAAATTCACTGATTTCAAGTTCTATGTTCTGGTTTATATACTGGCACTTTTATTAAACATGAGACCATTCTTCATTAATAATTCCGTTCTATATCATTGAAATTAAAATTGTGATTAAGTCACAGTTCGAAATGTAGATGCTATCCTTAACGTTGCAATGTGTCAATATCTGCGCATGCGCCCACCTTTTCACGTTAGCCTGCTTCGTGTTGCAGAACGGGTTCTACTCCTCTCTCCCGTACGTGGTGTTGGTGAGCCTGGTGATGCCGATAGGGGCGCTGTCTGACTACCTCACAACCAAAGGCTTCCTCAGTTTGAGTGGCGTCAGGAAGGTCATGAACACTCTAGGTAATATCTGATGAGTCAGCATTCTGCGTGCGTGCGTGCGTGCGTGTGCGTGCGTGCGTGTGTTTACTTCGCCGGATCACGGGATAAAACAAGTCTCAGCCATCACTTGGTGATTTGGCAGATTCTGTGTCAGTGTGAATGCATGTTCAGGATTTGCCATTTGGCTGTTGGCCACGATTCTAAAATAAGACGTAACATATTGCTGGTTATGAGAGGAGACTGGACTGGATAGAGTAGCCAGACTTTGTATCTAGGTGATGTGTCCAAATCAGCGATGACACCAGGTCTTCGCAAACATATCTATATTGGTTTCATACATCAACAACCAACACCTTCCGGTATAAATGAACAAAAGATGTATGTGTATATGATATACAAAATGTAAAATTATTATATCTTTATCAAGTATGCAACCGGGTCGTGTGACCCAGTCGTAATAAGAAATGTCATACTTGTTCTCGTCACATTGCGGCTGAAATCTTTCCTATGTGTCGTCACGGCGGTGGGGTAGTCTAGTGGTTAAAGCGTTGGCTCGTCACGCCGAAGACCCGGGTTCGAATCCCCACATGGGTACAATGAGTGAAGCCCATTTCTGGTGTCCCCGCCGTGATGTTGCTGGAATATTGCTAAAAGCGGCGTAAAACCAAACTCAGTCAGTCAGTCAGTCCTATGTGTCGTCACACTTTTAACTCTCTCACTCAACCATATATTTCTGATAGTCCACAAGAGTTAAACGCAAGATTGAACAAACGTTATGGACGACAACTTCTTTCATTTCGTGAGTGCGAAAATGCCATTCAAAGAAACGAGTTAAAAACGCTCCCTTGTGTCTTCTCTCAAGGTATGCTGATACCTGCTGCGTTTCTTCTTGGTCTGGCTCATCTCCCCTGCTCAGAACCGCTGGTAGGTGTCGCTCTCATCGCCGCCTCTGTCGGAACATTCGCCTTCTGCTTCCTCGGGCACATCGTCAACATGGCCGACATAGCCGTGATGCATGCTGGGACTTTAGCAGGTTTCTCAAACACGCTAGCCTCGATGCCGGGAATAATCGCGCCATACGTAGTCGGGTACATAACTAAACAGGTAAGCCCATCTACACGCAGTGTGTTTGTTATAACTCTGTGAATTATTAGTCTGATGTGTTGGACAATATGTAAACATGTTTATTGGGTTTTTTATATTAATTTCTGCATCCTATGATGATATTATCCAGTACTTCATGGAGACTTGAAACAGCTTGTACTTCAGGTGTTACCCACATTGCGCCTGTCAGGATGATTATCATTCGCTTTTACCTTTCACTTTGAGACCATCCACTTCAGACATTTCACCTCGCTACACTTAACCTTCACCTTGAAACTCTTCGCCTTACAATCAGTCACCACTACACTTTTACTTTGCAATTCATGACCACACACCATGTTATCTCTCAACCTTTCACCTTGCTATCCTTACGTCATGCATCCTTTCCTATCGCCTTGCAAAACCTACTTGACACCCTTCCTTACAACACTTCATTTCAGAGTCTTTTACATTGACCTTTTAACCTTCACCTTTACCTCCCATTTCTTTAATTACCCTTTCGAAAGTCACCTTTCAACTATGTACCTGGAGACAAATCGACACATACCGCAGCTTTGAGTTCTTTGATCAACAGGAATGTCCCGAATGGTTACATCGGCAACAGAAACCGGAAGCGCATATGACATTGTCGCCTTTTATACAGATTAGATGATTGTTATTATACCATTAAAAAAATGTAGGGGATATTCCATTTATATATATCCATACAGATGAAACATTTCCAAAGGAATGGAATAAATTGTTACATTTTCCCTTAATTTCTCTTCATCATCTGTTTCCTCCTTGGCGTCATCATGTGCATTTTATCAATCTTGTAAATCCAATCTCCCCTACTTGTTTTGAATGGTATATATGTATTTGTCGAACTTTTGGTTGACTCCAAGTACAAACTTGGTCCCTGCGTATTTCTTATTCTGTCACCATTTAGCGGTTGTACTAAACTTCGGATAACGTTCAACGTCGACACAACGGTTTTTAACTGTGTTTGCCATTCATCTATTTCAGGGTACTCCGGAAGAATGGCGGACAGCTTTCTACATTGCAGTTGTCCTCAACGTTGTTGGATCTGTCGTCTTCGTCCTCTTCTCGACGGGCACGGCGCAGCCATGGGCTTTACCTGCTGAACTAAATACAACAACAATCATAGACGAACAGGAAAATCCTGACGAGAATCATGAACTTGACACCATGATCATCGTTTCCAATAAAAATGTACCTGATTCTCACAAAAGAGAAATTATAGAAGGAGAACGTCTTATATCGAGCAATAGCAGTATACACAGAGCTCATGACGTATGAGTAGTGATCCACAGAGTGAGTGAGTGAATGAGTCAGTGAGTTGGTGGGTAAGTGAGTGAGTGGGTTGGTGGGTGAGTGAGTGAAAGATGTTGGGTTTTACGCCGTTTTTCATATCAGTGTCTATGAGCGTAATGTAGTAGTATGAATGGTGAGTCTTAAACATCGCTATTTATGTCAAGGCCTGCCAATTCAATGTTGTAGTAAAGTCCAAAATGATGTTGCTTTGTCACTTTTGTGAAAAACACCCCTATCATAATCATAATCAGGGTCCGCTTGCTCAAAGCAGTCTTAACCACGACTTTTGTAACTTTTGTAATATAGGACTTACAATCACCTTAGCTAAGATTACTTTGAGCCCTTGTAACTCCCATAAAATTTTGATAAAAACGATAACCTCTTCATGTCATATTTAGGTTCTAAGAAAAATCACACAGTGATGGATTACGAATTGGTCTTCAGCAACCCACGCTGGTCGTAAGAGGCGATTAACGGGATCGGGTAGTCAGGCTCGCTGATTTGGTTGACACATGTCATCGTATCCCAACTGCGTAGGTCGATGCTCATGCTGCTGCTCACTGGATTGTCTCGTTCAGACTCGATTATTGCAGACCGCCGCCATATAGTTGAAATATTGCTGAGTGCGGCGTAAAACAACAACCAACGAGGTTTCCCGTATTGTCCAGTAGTACAGAACTGTCAACAGATTCAACATTGACAATCAGATTATAAACTGATCAGTCTGCAGCCAGTCTGCAGCATTCCAATGGCCCTCTCCCGCTCTTCTGCTGTTAATCTCGGCATTGTAGTGAATGTATGGTGTGAAATGATAAATCTTGGGGCCTTATATACCCGTTTCCAACAGTTTTCACGTGCATTTCATGCAAGGTGAAGTTACAATGGGTACGTTTTGGCGTTATGCTTCCTTATACAAGGACAGAAATAGGCAAAAGTTTACAGTATCTAAGGGAAAAATTAGTCTTTTCTCGTTTGACGACTCTTCCTAAAACAGTCGAAAGTCATGATGATCCAAAAATTAAACCTCAAGTGGTTGGAATGTGTTTTAAAGAGACAAAAATCCAATTTCAGCATTGGGTCCCTTTTTACGGTAAACAACCATTCTTTCATATCCAAAACCCAACTTTATTACTCTTTGTGAATGTGCATGCATTATCATCATAAACAATATCATTTGGACCCATTTTTAACTGTTTTTTACACTTTTGATTTGAATTTTTACATGATTGAAAATAGGACAATGGACCCCACCTAAACAAACATGTCGATATCCTAATTATCAATGACTTCCTCAGCCTGATGTTTTGACTCAATAGAGTTACATGATTGGTTGTTAAAACATACCAAACCAAAGTCTTCTATCAATATAACATTTTAGGATATTCTAATGTTCAGAGATGTAACATTTCTTTTGGCGTTCAGTTTATATCCCTCAACCTAGGCTCGTTTAGGGACCATTCATAATTTATGTAATTTATGGCTCACCCATTCAGCTTTTCCCATACAGTTTATGCAAAATACTTTTTGATATGAATTTGAATTTCGACGCGACCAATCACCAGTGTTGGTAACTAACGCAGCGTTGTAGGTCAGAAATACACATTACTGTTATATACTGAACAAAAATAGTTAGGGATATATGTAAATTTTGAAATTATGAATAATGATCTATTTATTCATTGACACACTGATAAAATATCAATCATAAAAATACCAATATCCCTAAGTTATTTTGTCTAGTATATGTTTTAGGCATTGTGGAAATAGTTCTGGTCATTTATGTGATTTCTGTGCCAATGTTGGATAAATGAACCAGCCACATACAGCAATACATAAAGTCAAACACCGTTGTGTCGAAGCTATGGTTGTCTCGAACTAACAGGTTGATTCCTACGTATTGCTTGTATAGATATCGGTTTTGTGTCGGATCTCGGATTACTCGAAGTTTTTGCGTTGGTCCCTTCGACTTCGAAACAGCGGTGTTTATCTGTACATTTATGCAATGAACGTAGGGTCAAATATAGAATTGTGTATTACACTGGACGTGAGTCGTGACAAACACAGTGAGGATTTGCCACAGTGATAACACTGCTCCCTACAGCATCCTAGCGAGCCCGACCTGTGTGGTATAGTGTAGTGTCGTGTCGCACGCAAACACCTGGCAGCTGACGGAAACGTTCCCTCACGGATGCTGTGTAGTGTCTTGGTACTGTACAAGTATGGGACTAAGAACACGTTGGAACAATGTAAGGACAGCTGGTTTACATGACCTTTCCCCCTAACCCTTCTAATACAGAAACAATTTTGAAGTTGCTGAAGTTCACTGTTTCAACAGAACAATTCGCTGTTAGAAGATTGTTTACGACAATGGATTCCCGACATAATCATCGTATACATACTACTCAAAAGAGCCAAGAACTATCCGACTATCATGTTAGTTTAGTGTATGTCAAAGTCTGACAGTTGAATAACTGAAATGCGATACAATCGGTGTCCTTAACTATTTCGAGTAGTATATATAACATTTTTATGGAAATACGATGCCGACCTATACTTTTGGAATTATGTACCTGTGTTTTGCAATTATTAAATGGATGTTCGATTGGCATTTTAGAAGATGCTATTTGATGAACATAGAGACCTTTCTGGGTTTCATCTTCTTTGTATTGCCTGTTCTTGCCCCATCATAAGGTAGAACTAAAGTATAGTTCTACCTTGATGATGGGGCCAGAACAAGCCCAGAACTAAAGTATAGTTCTACCTTGATGATGGGGCCAGAACAAGCCCTGAACTAAAGTATAGTTATACCTTGATGATGGTGCCAGAACAAGCCCTGAACTAAAGTATAGTTCTACCTTGATGATGTGGCCAGAACAAGCCCTGAACTAAAGTATAGTTCTACCTTGATGATGGGGCTAGAACAAGCCCTGAAACGTTGTACCAAACAATAAAAAGAAGAGGTAACCCAGAAAAGCCTCTATGATCATCAATTATTAAATGATATAAGCTTTATGAGCGTTGTTCAAATGGTGTCGTTATGATGCGCGGTTACTAAGGGTACGATATTGATACACGGCTGTTAGTGACTACGATAGGTGAGTTGTGTTTAGCACGAACAAGACAGTGTTGCAGTTACTCCACGACGTGTCAGCTTGGGGGGGAACCGGAAGTGACGTATGTTAACTGTTTACCAGTTTGATGCCATCAAAAATGCGAGTATGGCCCTGAAACACCTGGAAAATTAGCCAAGACGAATCTGGGATTCGAATACATGATCCTGTCTCCGTCATGATTAAAGGGAAGTAACTCAGCACTGCCAAGCATGGTGCCTTAGACCACTGGGCCACCAGTAGCTCCCATTCAACAAGACTTTACAAAAACACCGTTTTCATATTGTCAAAAGAGATGTATTTTTATCTCGGATGCTCATTGTATATATTATATATATTTGTATTACATTTTTACCTGATCATATTACATATTATAACACATGTAGTGTGTAGGCTTTTAGGTATGTATTGTGTAGGTGTCTATACACTTCAGTGTGCGATGTGATAAGAGGGATTTATCGCATCACGGACCTTGACCAGAGTCCAGGGCCTAGATTTTCGAAGCTCTCTTAGCGCTAAGGTAGTCGTAAGTGCCATACATTAACATTAACTTACGACTATCTGAGCGCTAAGAAAGCTTCGAAAATCTAGGCCCTGATCAACAAAGCGTTCGTAACGTTACGACCTGTCGTGCCTCTTTAGTTTATCATAGGCTTACGGATGTCGTAGTGCTACGAACGCTCTGTGGATAGGGACCCAGGGCAGTCATGTCTGTCACGATCGAGGTCCTACTATTTTACTTGTTTGTTATTAAGAAACCTGCAGTTTTACAATTGTTCTAATTAGAACCACGCACAAGCCTTTCATTAGGCATAAATTATGTTCATTATATTAAATGTGTACAAAAACAAGTCCCGAAGTACATACTAACTTTTAAATTGCCAAACGGGTTTTCATTGAAACAAACTTAGCTTTGAATTTCTGTCATGTCATTTTTGATGATGTCATGATGTGTAATATGTAGTGTCGTGTAAAACTGTATCTAATATGGGACAATAAAATCTGTTTTATATCCCACTTAACTCTTCTTCTTCATAAGGATCTTAGACAAAACAGACACAGCTTTAACTGACTAAAACAGATTGATTAATTATTGGACGCAACGCGGCAACAACAAAGTTAACATCCTTTAATGTGTCTCCAAACGGGAATTAAAATCTTCCCAGCTTTGAAGCAGAAGACTGGCGAGCGACCTTAACGTTTCTGTGTTTATTTCCAGGCAATATCTTCTCTACATTTGTTTGATTACCTGTTTTTGTCAATCTAATAGTTCGGAGGAAAGAGAAGCCTACTTTTTTTGTAAATGTAAACCTTTTGGTTCAGTTCAAACAATGAAAATGCTCACCGTCAACAGAAGTTTCTTCGGTGGTAGGAGGTCCCAAGATTCACAACGATCGTAATGTGGCGAATTTCAAACAGTACTTAGGCCACAACACAACACTTGTGCCATGTAGCAGATCAAAATAGGTGGGATTATTGTGTTAGGTCGCTGGAAGAAGCGAGGCAGGAGACCAAACCACACTTGGCCCAGTCCTAGCAAGGTCGGCCTGAGTGTATTGAATGAGAAAATACTTTTTCATGTTTTTGTTTCGCTGGTATCACAGAATGGAGACCCATCTGTCACAATCCCATATAAGTGATTAAAGGTTATTTTGTAATATTTGTTTTAGAAACCTCTAGCTATAATAAAATTACGGTCCGAGGCGGAATACTTGCCAACTATTTGAAATAACTAGAATGAGTTAATAGGAGAGCTTTTGATCTGTTCTCCTACACTCCACTCAGTACTTCAAACAACACAACACTTAAATGGTATTCTCCACTAAATTTCACAATCTTCTTCATAATCATCATCATCATCATCATCATCATCATCATCATCATCATCATCATCATCATCATCATCAACAACATAAACTCCACATCATATAAACTCAATCAACATATCATAATCATCATAATATACGATATATGACAATGTCGTTCGTGTGATATACAAACAGGATCAGCCCACGCAATATACAAATGCTCGACGTATTATCTTGGCTCGTCAGCACACAAAAAAAACATTCTCACACGTATTATCATGGTTTCACCAGCACATAAAATATGCCAGTACTTATACGTATTATCATGACTCGTCAACACCCACAATATACGTATTCTCACACGTATTATCATAACTCGCCAGCACATACAATATCCCAGTACTCACGCGTATTATCATGGCTCACCAGCACATACAATATGCCAGTACTTATACGT